GCAGAGAAAGTCAATTATCATATGGTTTCACTTATTTGTGGAACATAGGAATAGCATGGAGGACATTAGGAGAAGGAAGGGAAAAATGAAGGGGGCAGGAATTGGAGGGGGAGATGAACCATGAGAGACTATGGACTCCAAGAAAGAAACTGAGAGTTTTAGAGGGGAGGGGGGTGGAGGGATGGGTTAGCCCGGTGATGGGTGTTAAGGAGGGCATGTATTGCATGGAGCACTGGGTGTTATACGCAAACAATGAATCATGGAACACTACATCAAAAACTAATGATGTACTTGTAAAGTGACTAACATAATAAAATAAAATTTTAAAAATTATAAGTAAATTCAAACTGAAGGGTAAAAAACCACCTTGTATCAAAATTCATGAAATGCAGCTAGAGTAATGCATAGAAAGAAATGTATAGCTTTAATTTAAATATTTATGTATTTTAATCTATACAAAAAAAAAGTCTAGTGTCAGTGATCCAAACCTTCAGAGAAAATAGAAAAAGAGAAAACTAAACCTGAAATAGGTATAGAAAAAAGAAAGAAAAATGTAAGAGTAGAAATCAATGAAACAGAAAACAGAAATAGGAAAATGACAAAGAAAAAGATTGTTTTTTTAAAAAAAAAGATTAATAAAATTGATACTGATAAAAACAAAAGGAGAGAAAATGTATTTTACCAATATCCAGAATGAAAGAGAGGCATCACTACCGATCTTAAATATATTGGAAAGATGATAAAGGAATATTATCAATAACTTCATGTCAATACATTTAACATCTTAGATAAAATGGGCAAATTGTTTTAAAAACATGTTACCAACTGACACAAGAAGAAACAGAAAACTGGAATTGTAGGATATCTATTTAAGCAATTTATTTTGCAATTCAAATTTTTTCCACAAAGAAAATGTTAGCCACAGGTGTCTTCTGTCATAAATTCTACCAAATACATAAAGAAGAAATAAGAAATATCTTACACAAACTCTTTCATAATAGAAAGGAGGAAACTATTGCCAAATCATGTTATGAGACCAGTATAATCCTGAAACTAAACCTGATAAGAGTATAACATGAAAAATATATATAGATCAATATCCCTCATGTACATAAATGCAAAATTCTCAACATTATTAGCAAATTTAATCGACCTAATAGATACCATATTTTTCACACAGCTGCATGCCACCTGGAAGAAAAACAAATTGCCTGGTTAATCATAGCCATAGAGGTGCTCTTCTCTTCCCAGTCTGCAGGACTCCAGTTCATTGGATCTCATGGGATACCTTTGTATTCTTCTACTGTTGCTGCTGCTATCCCATATGCAGAATGGAGGAGGACTTGATTCAGATTTTGGTGCTCAGATTCCAGTTGTGATGGCATCATAGTGCTGCAATGGCCACTTGAACTTGCAAATTGGAAACAACCAATAGGACCAGGACAAAAGTAAGGCAAGTGTCTCAGAAGCAAAATTAATGGGTCTTCCCAAAACTTAGAATTAAAGATAGATATGTTTAATGCAATATTCTAAAAAAAATCAAACTTCATGAAAACAATACATTATGAACAAAATATCCAAATATTAAATAAAGGCTCTAACCCTACACTTGCACAAGTTGGCTTCACCCTAATCCCAGCCCTGTCACATCCTGATGTCAACTTTATTGTTTCCTGATCTCACTGGGGGAAAAAATGACCGTACCTACGGTATAGTTCCCTTTCCTGGGATGCTCCTTCAAGCACAAGAAGGCTATCAAACATCTAGATCCAATAATGCTGGCATTGTTAAATTTACAAAAAGAAAATCCCTTTAGTTTGCAAATATGATCTCTTCTAGAATATGTTATTAATGTCAGATTTATTGCATATATTTATGCATTAAAGGAAAAATACCTTTATAATGTGGAAAAGCAATGTTATTCTGGTATATATCTGTGCATGCAGCATATCTCCACCATCTACTAAAGCCACTCCCTCCCACACACATTCAAATGCACACATATACAAACACACACAGATACACAAACGCTCTGGGTGCAGCTGTGGAGTTCTAAAATTGCTTGAGGCATTACCATTCGTGCATCATGCAAGATTTTTATTGCTTTTTCATGACTATGCTGATCAATTGGAAGTAATGTTCTTTTCAAGGCATGCCAGGTCAATCCAAGAAAGACATAAGAATTCATCCTTTGGAGGGTGCCTGGGTGGCTCAGTTGGTTAAGCAACTGCCTTCGGCTCAGGTCATGATCCTGGAGTCCCAGGATCGAGTCCCGCATCGGGCTCCCTG